ATGGTTTACAGGTAAGCAATATAAATTACTATGGTCGTTGAGCCTAATTATTAAAAAATGTATGACTATAACCACGGCTTAGGATGTTCCCAAGTAGCAATGTGTACCTTCATTTCTTCCCTCAATGCGCGCGCGCACACACACACACACACACACACACACACATACTACATTGTGTATAAGTAATGGCACAGCCAGACAACCAGAATGGAGAGTCTAAATCTCATGCTGCAAGAAAAAGTGTAAGAGAAGGAAAAGCAGGGACGGAAAAAAGAAAGGCTCCTCAAGAAAGGGAGAGTGATATGACCCAGAAAGACAGACCACTCTCTTTTTCCTTAAACTGTTTTTTTAAATGAAGTTTACCATTCACACTATGCCATACAGGGTGCCATAAAAATATAAAAGGAAGGAATTAATAAGATACTTGGAGGCCTCATCTTCCCAGCCAAATCACTAGCAAAAAAAAAAAAAAAAAAAAACAGACCATTTCTACCATAACAAACTTAATCATAAAACAATTTTTTCATTTAGTTTTGAATAATTTTTGTTTCAATTTCTTTTTTGAGAACAAAACAAGAAAATTCAGTGTTCAAATCCCTCTACGCACTCTTTTTCTTTCACTTATTTACTTTTCACCCCTTTTATCACTTGGAAAAGAATGGATGCTTTTTAAAAAGTAGATTCCCACTTTAAATATGAATCTTTTCTTCATTGTGATTATTATATGACTTTGAGAGGCTAATACTTACATGAAAAATTGCAAGTTTTGTAAAATATCATGATAACTTTTCTTAACTAAAGATAAATTTAATGCAATACATAATATAGCCTGTTAAGTTAAAACATATTTTAAAATAAGATCTCTAGCCTTATGCAGTAGCTCTCCAGAAAATAGATATCAGAGGGGTAACCGTGTTAGTCTGGATCTGCAAAAGCAACAAAGAGTCCCGTGGCACCTTACAGACTAACCGAAGTATTGGAGCATAAGCTTTCATGGGCAAAGCTCAACTTTGTCAGATGCATGGGGAGGAGCCGGTGGTCGTGGTACATGTAGGTACCAATGACATAGGGAAGGGTAGGAGAGATGTCCTGGAGGCCAAATTTAGGCTGCTAGGAAAGAGACTGAAATCCAGGACCTCTATGGTGGCATTCTCGGAAATGCTTCCAGTTCCACGCGCTCGTGGTACATGTAGGTACCAATGACATAGGGAAGGGTAGGAGAGATGTCCTGGAGGCCAAATTTAGGCTGCTAGGAAAGAGACTGAAATCCAGGACCTCTATGGTGGCATTCTTGGGAATGCTTCCAGTTCCACGTGCAGGGCCAGTAGGCAGGCAGAGCTTCAGAGTCTCAATGCGTGGATGAGACGATGGTGTAGGGACAAGCGGTTTAGATTTATTAGGGCATGGGGGACA